CACACACACACACACACCCACACACACACACCCCCCCACACCCCCCCCCCCCCCCCCCCCCCCCCCCCCCCACCCCCCCCCCCCCCCCCCCCCCCCCCCCCCCCCCCCCCCCCCCCCCCCACACACCCACACACACACACACCCCCACACACACCCACACACCCACCCACACACACACACCATTAAGCACGACTGATGATCCCGCGCTCCCCTCGTCAACAAGAGGGGGGATGAGACCTCCTCCCCCAATCCTCCTCTCCCCGTGAATTATCCGTAGACACCCCCTGCCACCCCCCCACACACAATCCTCTCCCTCCCCATACGTCCGTCCTTGTGCTTCACACCAACCTCCACCCGGTCGCGCCCACTCGTGCGTCCCCCGCCCCGACCTCCCCCTTCCCAGCCGCGACCTACCAACAAGGGGGACCAGCAGGCGGAGAGGACGCACGTGATTCCCATGAGCTGGATGACCGTCTCGGTGGTGATCCTGCCCCACTGGGCGCCGCCCCGGGAGGCCGTGGCCTTGGCCCGGCAGCGGGACACCAGCGCCTTGATGGTGGCCAGGTTGCAGACGAAGGTGACCGCCAGCGCCGCGAGCCCCAGGAAGGCGAAAGCGGAGGCGAAGAAGAGGTCGCCGCGGCCGGGAGCCGGGCCGGTCCCGTTGGCGCCGCGCTCGCCGGTGCCGATGAAGCACCACGTCCCGGGCCACTGGACGGCGTAGTGGCCCACGCCGGCCACGGGCAGCAGGGCGAAGGCGAGCCCCGCCAGCCAGACGGCCAGCAGCACGGCCCGGGTGGCCCGCGTCTTCATGTGGCTGGCGTACCAGTGCGGCGCGCGGATGGCCAGTGCCCGCTCGACGGCCATGGCGCTGGCGATGAAGAGGGGGCAGAGGCCGAACGTGGTCATGCTGAGGCCGAAGAAGGAGCACAGGCGGCCCGACGGGTCGAGCCGCTGCCAGGGCCGCTGGGACAGGTAGACGGCGATGACCACCGGGCTGGTGAGCAGCTGGCCCGCCAGGTCGGTGAGCGCCAGGCCGCCGATGCACAGCAGGAAGGATTTCTTGCGCTTGCTGTCCTTGCGACGGTAGCTGCGGGCCACGAGCAGCATGGCGAGCGCGTTGCCCACGATGCCCGTGATCATCATGGCGAGCGGGTAGGCTACGGACACGGAGCCGCACTGCTCGGCGGGCCGCCAGCCCGTGCCGTTGCCCTGCGGCGGCGCGGCCGGCTCGGACCCCGACATGCCCGAGTACGAGCGGTACAGGCGGCTGCAGAAAGCGGGGAGCCCGGGGGCCACCGTGCCGCCCGCCGGCTCCCTCATGTCGCCTTCGTGGCCGGCAGCAGCCCTGGCAGGGGCAGGGACGGTCGCCCGCGGGCGCGCGGCAGCGGGAGGCTGGCGGCGGCCGCTGCCGGGGCCCTCCCGCCGGCCATGGCTCCCCCGGCTCCCCCGGCTCCCCCCGGAGCTAGCTCGCCGCTGTCTGGGCGCTCGGCCGGGCCGCCACACCGGCCGCTCGGTCAAGGGCGCCCGCCCTCCAGCTCCCGCGGAGAAGCCGGAATCCGGCCCCCGCGCGCCCCTCTATAAGGCCGAAGGGGGCGGGGCGCCCCAGAACGCACGGAGGAGGCGGTCCCTCGGACTCCGCGCCCCGCTTGGCGGCCGGCTAGCGGGTTGCTAATGCGCTGGGGGTGAGGATTCCCGGAGCGCTCCCCCGGGCCAGAGAGCGCACCAGCCCCGGCTCTGCTTCGCCTCCCACCTGCGCTGCTCGGGCTGCCATGCCCGCTCTCCCCTTGGGCGCCCGCCCTCCCCTTGGGCGCCCGCCCTCCCCTTGGGCGCCCGCTCTCCCTTTGGGCGCTCCCGGGGGACCCGAGATTCTCCCACCGCGCGTCCAAGCCCGGGGAGGAGCCTCGCCTCGCTCCCCAGTCCCCTTCTCCCCCACCGCCTCCTGCCTCTGCCCGGAGACACAATACAATGATCGTCACCTCCTGGGGAGGTGGAGAAGAGAAGATTCGCTTTGGGGGATGGCGTGGGGAGCCACCTTTCGCCTGCCCAGGAACTCGGCGAGGACTAGTCTGGGGCCCGAAGGGGCACGAGGCAGATTGGCTAGGCCGGGCTGAAGTGTGGGCGACACGCCCCCGTCCCCACCACAAAGGAATGGATGGCAGGCTTTGGCGCGAGTGGAAATGGGAGATCCCGTGTGGAGCCAGCCTGGATGAACCGGCATGTCTGCAGGTGGAAAATCCCACCAAGAGGACCGGAGGGGGCCAGGGGGAGAAGGGGAGCAGCCCTTCATTCTGATCTAGCATCAGAGCCGTGTATTTCAACCTCCTGTTTTTACAGATAACTGGATTAGCTGATATGCACCTAGCCCTTTAAGGTGTGCAAAGAGCTTTACAATGTCACCTCACTTTATCCTCACAACAACCTTAGAACGTAGATGCTGTTATTTTCCCCATTTTACGGATGAGAAAACTGAGGAATGACTTGCCCTCGGTCACACAGCTGGTGTCTGAGGCAAGATTTGAAATCAGATGTTCCTGACTCCAAGTCCATCGCTCTATGCACTGAGCCACCTAGTAACTTACAGATGAGGAAACTGAGGCCCAGAAACTTGCCCAAAGTCACACACTGAAGTGTGTGAGGAGAGATTTGAACTGAGATCCTCTCCTATTTCATTTTCCTTAGGGTCCTAAACAATGTGAGAAACTTCAGGTTTCAAAACCTATATCCCCTCCGTATAGACCTCCAAAACATTATCTCTTTGGAACCAATGCTCCCAATCTGGCAAGCTAGGGAGAAGCCAGTTGGAATCCTCCTTGGGTAGCACAAGGCATCAAAGAAGCAGGAGTACTTGGGAGTAACTTCCAAAGCTCATTTGTCTTCACATACTAGAGAGGAGAAAGATAATCACAACATCAAAGATTTGGGGCCGGAATGAGCCTGAGAGATTTCTCCTCCAACCCTTTCATTTTACCGCAGAGGAGACGTGCCCAAGGTCATCCAGATAAAAGAGCTGGGATTTGAACCGCAGGTCCTTGGATCCCAAAGCTGCCTCTGTTTCCTGTTTTCCTGTTGTTCAGTGGTGACCACTCCCCACTGACCCCATGTGGGGTTTTCTTGGCCGAGATACTGGAGTTGTTTGACATTTCCTTCTCCAGCCCATTTGACAGATGAGAAAACTGAGACAAACAGAGTTGTGCATTGCCCAGAGACACAAAGCTAGTAAGTGTCTGAGACTGAATTTGAACCCAGGTCTTCCTGGCTCCAGGCCCATCACTCTATTACTCCCAGCTACGTGGGGTTCGTTGTTTCTACCTCTAGCCAAGTCTGGGTGATCTCTGTGATCCATCAGCTCCTCTGTTTGAACGGTGGCCTCTTTTAAGCAGATTAGTTTCCTATTTAGATGTAAAGAGTGGTTCCTGAGAAGACCCAAATTGCTTTCCCCCTGATGCTGCCCATTGGACTCTTTGTTCCTGCCCTAAAGCCTTTGCTTAGTGTTACACATACCTAGCCTGACCGACATCTGATCATTGGTGGCCAGACATTTTTCAGAGGGAAGGAGAAAGCCCACAAAATTAACTTTGACTTCTGTCTAGCAGCTGCCTTAAATCACAGCCCACCTGTAATGTTATCTTTTTTGCCTGGCCGTGGGGGGACTTTGTCATGTTAGCCTGTGTCAATTCTCAGTTTTTCTTTGTTGGGGTGCCAAGTTTGGCAGCGAAATGAAAATGGACCTTTGAACTATGTAGGTTATATTTTATAGGAAGGAACAGTGGCTCACAGCTCAACAAACAAATTCCTATCAAGTCTTCAGATATGGACTCATTTAAAAAGCACAGCAAATAAAATGTTATCAAAATCTGCCTCCTTCAGTTTATGGCCTTGAAGTTAATCTCAGGCCCATATCTGGCAAATTGTTTTTTGTTTTAGAATGGTGTAGGAATATGTAGAATAACATTTGGTATTAGAGGCTTGGATATAGAAACCTCCTATAAGAAAGAAGCATTTGGATTAAAGTGCATTAAAGTTTTGTTTTAATGGTATGCTATTAAGATTACATCTTCTACCGAAAATGAACAGTCTTGAGGTTTCTCTAGCAAGGATTCCAGTGCTGAGCTGCTTTCTGGGTCCGGAGAAACCTTGGGCATTTTCCTTTGCTGTTCCCCTTCCCGGGTGGATTTGTTCTTTTTCCTCCTCGGCCCCAGGTGGCCTCCTAATACCTGGGGCACCTCCAATGTGCCAGGTCATAGCAATGGCCCCTTCCCCGATCCCTGACTAGTGCAGCCATGAACATTCCAAGTGTACATCACTAAACTTGCTGAATGGTCATCAAGGGACATTTTTCTCATCATCTTCCACTTCAACGTTCCTCTGCTTTCCAGGCACACACTCTGTCTTTCTAGAACGTAGGCAACTGAATTCTTCTTTGGATTTTCATTAGAAAGATTGCGGGCCATTCCAAATTTCATCTGGTGGACAGTATGGTCTATAATTATTTCTATATCCATATTCTGCTTTTTAGTTTGGTTGGTTGGTCCAGACTAGTGAGAGAGAAATAATCTTCTGCAGGAGTGCTGGGCAAACAGCAAGACCTGGGTTCGAATTCTGCCTCATACACTGCGTTACCCTGGGCAATCACTGCCATTCTGAGCCTTGGGTTCCTCTTCTGTAAAATGGGGCTGAGAAGAGGCAGCTAGGTGGTGCAATGGATAGAGAGCACTGACCCTGAAGTCAGGAGGACCTGAGTTCAAATTTGACCTCAGACCAAACACTTGCCGCTTACTAGCTGTGTGACCGTGGGCAAGTCACTTAACCCCAATTACCTAAAAAAAAAAATGGAGCTGGGAATAACTAACTTGTCCCTCACCAGGTTGTTGTGAGGATCAAAGGAGAGGTCTGAAGAGCCCTTTGCAAATTCTCTAGCCACTACTATTATTATCATCATTAAGCAACCTCCATCGCCTTGGAGAATTCCTCCAAGGACTCAGGTAAGCAGTTCCCTGAAACTTAGGGTTTTAGAATGTTGCTTGGGGACATGGAGAGGTTAGGTGACTTGCCTAGGGTCACATAGCCAATCCGTGTTACAAGTAGGACAGGAACCCAGGTCTTCCTGACTCTACCAATAGTCCTCTATGTAGTGAATCAAGCTGCCCCTTATTAAATCTTATTAAGATACAGCACAAATTCTTGTTGACATTTAGAACCATAGAACAGTATGTTACAACTGAAACCTCTGCATCGAGTTCAACCTTCCCCTTGACAAATGAGGCAGGCGGCCCAGGCGGCTGAAATTCGCTGTTCAAGGCTGAGGTTCCAGCAGAGCTAGCTCTAGAATCCAGGTCAACAGGCACAGACAAACGCAGCTGCCTCCCAGGCACATGCACACTCACAAGTTGGACCCTGGGGAGGGTGAAGGGGTGTGTCCAGGCCCCGGTAACTCACTGGCCCCATCCGAGCTAATTATAATAATAATGACTATCTAGCATTTATCTAATACTTTGCAAATCTCATTTCATTTTATTCTCACAACTACCCTGGGACATGGTGCTATCATTATCTTTATTTTATAGATGAGGAAACTGAGGCAGACAGAGGGTAAGTGACTCACATCAGCTAGGAATAAACGCATTTAGCTTAGAATTAAAGGGCAAATTCTAAAATTGGGCAAGCAGCAATGTTCTTTGTTTCTTTTTAGAAGGACTGCTTTGCTTTTTGGTTTAGTTTGCTTGTTTTTCATACAGGGAAGGAAATATATGCTGCGGTCTGTTCCCTATTTTATCCCTCACATCAACAACGGGCTGGAGATTTAATGGGAAAGCGACCGGAAGGCTCCATCTGGCTTTGCCTTTCGGGCTTCATCCTTGGCCCTTTTCTCTCGGTGAAGGCTGGAGCTGCATTTCTCTGAGGCGATAGCACCATCCGGCGTTCTGTCGGCTAATCGCAGGATGCTGCTTTGGTCCAGAGGGATACCTAGGCTCGGATGATCTGTTCCCCAGAGGAATTGCTGATGGAAATGAATGATGATCCCAGATCATTTCGGTCCTTAACCAGTTCCTGTCCCTTTCGATGAGCTCTACTTGGGAAGCCACCTCCTCAGGCTTGAAGGCGGCCATTTTTTAAAGGTGAAATGTTGAAATTATTTCAAAAATTCAATTCAATTCAATTGCTGTTGGTCAGCATGGCCTCAGAGGTCCCTTCCAGCTTTTTGCTCACCTTGTGGCCCTCTGTATGCTGGTTCTGGGATGCCTCCTATGACCCATTCCCTATCTAGCTGGTTCCAGCCATTCTTCACTTCATTCCTCAGGACTTTTTGCCTGCCCCCATGA